CGCTGCGGCGCTATATAAACCAGGGCGGACTTCAGTCGCCAAAGTCAGTCGCCTTGTGCGGGGAGCGAGGAAGCTGCGCTCTTCCCTGCCGCTGTGCATTCACACGTGCTCCTTAAACGCGCGTCTGGACCGCGGTCGGTGCCCCTTTCCGCGTTTGCGATCCTTTCTTTCGCCGCCTCCTGCCCGGGATGCCTCCCAATCTCACCGGTTACTACCGATTCGTCTCCCAGGACAACATGGAGAATTACCTCCGTGCCTTAGGTAAGCAGCCCGTCCGCCGCCGCCGGCAGGCCGCCTTTTGTTTTGTCCCCTTTGTAGCTTTTGTCGCAGCGTTAAATTCCCAATCGCATCCCCACTGCTGGAGTTCAGCTTTGGAACAATGGAAGCAATTTTTTTTGCTACTATTGTCTCTGGGCATGTACAGAGTTGCTCTCTAAGACTCAGTTAAGGCCAGACCCGTTCAGAAAATCTGGAAGCAGGGATTTCAGGGCATCTTAGATCTTTGGGCAGTTTTAAACTCTGGTACTTAGGAGTTTAGTTTTTAAAAATGTAAGAAAAGTAATGATGAGTAACATGTCTGTAATATGATGGCAGGGTCTCAATTTATTACTCTCGCCATTCCGCAATTAAGGACACATCAATCTCCAATTCTGACATATTTATTTTCTTCACTGTTTTCCCCCCAGAACTGAACCCAAACAAATGGTAACTAAGCTTATTATTCCTGTTTGGTCCTTGAATCTGTCTAAGATTTTCATTATGCTGTAAGATAATTTACTGCTCACGCACTACCTATCTGTATGGACTGTTAGCTTCCACTTTTGTTTCTCTCTCTGTCTTGACTCTAATTGGCCCATCCTGGCAACTCATCCCCCCCTTCCTATATATAATGGTTAAGGAAATTCTGTTTCACTGTATCTGAAGAAGTGTGCTTTACACACAAAGGCTTATACCTTGAATTAAACTTTGTTGGTCTTAAAGGTGCCACTCCAACTTTGTTATGTCTGTAATACTTTCACAGTGTTTGGCAAACAATATTTCTCTTACCTTAAATTAGTGTTTTGTGCTTATTTAGCACATTTCATCCCATCCTCCCTCTGAGGAGCTTGAGTCACAGTATGTCATTTTTCCTCCTCCATTTCATCCTCACAGCAACCCTGCGAGGTAGAACAGCGTTTGAGTCCAGTGGCACCTTTAAAACCAACATAGTTTTTATTCAGGGTATAAGCTTTCGTGTGCAAAACACACTTCTTCCTGTGGTAGGTTAGGCTAAGAGAGAGAGACTGACCCCAGGTCGCCCGGCAAGCTTCCTTGCCAGAGTACGGTTTGAATCCCAGTTTGGTGTAGTGGTTAGCGAGGTAGAACAGAGTTTGAGTCCAGTGGCACCTTTAAAACCAACTTAGTTTTTATTCAAGGTATAAGCTTTCATGTGCATGCACACTTCTTCCTGTGGCAGGTTAGGCTGAGAGAGAGACACTGACCCCAGGTCGCCTGGCAAGCTTCCTTGCCAGATTACGGTTTGAATCTCAGTTTGGTGTAGTGGTTAAGCGTGTGGACTCTAATCTGGGAGAACCAGCTTTGATTCCCCACTCTTCCACATGCAGCTGCTGGTGTGACCCTGGGTCAGTCACAAGTTCTCTCAGAGCTGTTCTCTCAAGAGCAGTCCTCGAAATAGCTCTGTCAGCCCTACCTACTTCCCAGGGTTTCTGTTGTGGGCAGGGGAAGGGAAAAGAGATTGTAAGCCACTCTGAGACTCCTTCGGGTAGTGAAGGGCGGGGTATAAATCCAATCTCTTCTTCTTCACCTACCCCAAGTCTCTGCAGCCTAATGTATTTTTACAGCTCTAGGGTATTCTTACAGTTCCTCTGACTACCACACCGCAGTGCCTTCCATGCTGCATATGGAGCCGAGAAGGGGAGCGTAGATTGCCTAAGGAGTAATTGTGTTTAAAGTGTGTTTTTAAAAATACTGATCTGTATTGGACTCCTGGGTGGCCAAGTGTATATATCTCAAAACAAATATCTGCAGTTGTTGTGTTTTGGGGCCCTGAATCAAACTTCTTCCCACTTTCTTTACCACAGGCTGTAAACATTGGGATGGCTATGAGGTAGGGAGGTGGCAGCCTAAATTATACGGCCACTCTCTATTATGTTTAACTTTTTAATTTACTACAGTCTGCCTTGCCCCCCCCGCCCCCCCAATCCCTTCCTTGGTCCTGCTGACATTCTCTTCCCCTTCCTCCCAGACATCAACGTCGCTCTGCGGAAGCTGGTTTGCCTCCTGAAGCCAGACAAAGAGATCGTCCACAACGGGAACCACATGACCATCCGCACATTGACTTCGCTTCGAAACTACATCATGGACTTTGACTTGGGGGTGGAGTTTGAAGAGGACTTGGGGCCGGTGGACGGGCGCAAGTGCCAGGTGAGAGAGGCCTCATCGGGGCCGGCTGGGCGGAGGGAACAGACGGGATCCTTGTCCCCCTGAACTAGGGGTGCCAACCTCCAGGTGGGACCTGGGGATCTCCTGGAATGACAGCTCATCTCCGGACTGGAGAAAATGGATGCTTTGGAGGGTGGACTCTGTGGCACTGTACCCCAGTGAAGTCCTTGTCCTCCCCATGCTCCATCCCCAAATCTCTAGGACTTTCCCAACAGCGATATGGCAACCCTACCTCCCCAATCCCCCACCACTGGTGGTCAGTGGGGACCTGGCAGCCCCATACCCCTCAGAGAGTAGAATTGAGTAGCCAAAATGGTTTTGGATGCATCAGTTCTTGGCCTTGGGTTGTGCTTATGGCTGCCAACTCCAAGTTGGGAAATTCTGGGGATTTTAGGAGGGAAGAAGAAGAATGGATTGATACCCTGCCCTTCACTACCCGAAGGGGTCTCGGAGTGGCTTACAACCTCCTTCCCTTCCCCTGCCCACAAACAGACACCCCGTGAGGCAGGTGGGGCTGAGAGAGCTCTTTCGAGAACAGCTCTGAGAGAACTGTGACTGACCCGAGGTCACACCAGCAGCTGCATGCGGAGGAGTGGGGAATCAAACCCCGTTCTCCCAGATTAGAGTCCGTGCTCCTAACCACTGCACCAAACTGGCTCTCCTGGGGAGGGACCCCAGCGGGGTATAATGCTGTAGACTCCACCAATGTTCCCTCTAAGTGGTGGAGTCTTGTGAGCAAAAATTCTACTTTGTGAGCTACTGGCATTTAATTTGTGAGTGAGCGATTTGGCTACTGAATAAATTAGTTTGCTCTGGAGCCATCCTTCCTGAGCTAAGACAAAAATCTGTGAGCCGGAGGCTAAAAAACTGTGAGCTAGCTCACACTAACTCAGCTTAGAGGGAACACTGGACTCTACCCTCCAAAGCAACTATCTTTTCCAGAGGAACTGATCTTTGTAGTCTGGAGCTCATTGTAATTCTGGGAGATCTCCAGTCCCCACCTGAATTTGTGCTGGCTCAGCCAAATTCAAAGCCTGGCTTCCTGTCCACCTGTCTGGTGGAAACAGACTGGTCAATACCTACCAGTCTATCATATTTTTATTCCGTTCTTCTTTTCAGTGTGCTCTGGGTGGCCTACTCTTCCGTATTATCCTCCCAACAGCCCCGTGAGGTAGGTTAGACTGAGAGCAAGTGACTTAGAGGAGAGGGGCCATCTGCTTGGCATGCGGAAGGTCCCAGGTTCAGTCCCCGGCATCTCAAGCTGAAAGGACCAGGTGGCAGGAGATGTGAAGGGACCTCCTCATGAGACCTTGGAGAGCAGCTACCAGCCTGTATAGACAATATTGACTTTCGTGGACCAAAGGTCTGATTCAGTACAAGAGAACTTCGTGGGTTCATGTTGTCAGAACCCACAGCTAACAACGAAGTACACGCATTCAGGAACGGTTATACTTTTATTGCAAAGCTATAGATGCAGTAACACAGGCACTGTTAAGAATGGCGGCAACCAATAGAGCCTAATAGGATATAGGCTATTCATATGCACTCCCCTCCCCATGGCATGGGCCAATTAGGTACCCTCCCGCGTGTGGGACAAGTTTGGAAACCGTTAAGTGGCTAAAGCTGGGAACCAGGAGTCTCTCACGGTACATAGGAGACTTCCAGACAACACAACCTCCTCCTGCACATCTGTAGAGATAAGCGTTTCAGCAAAGGGAGAACAGCAGGGATAGGAATGCAATAGCAATTAACAAGACACAGAAGGAACTCCCCAACCCCCATGGCAGCATAGCTGACACATGTGTTGAGAGCCAGCTTGGTGTAGTGGTTAAGAGCGGTGGACTCTAATCTGGAGAGGTGGGTTTGATTCCCCATTCCTCCACATTCAGCCAGTGGGGTGACCTTGGGTCAGCCACAGTTCTCTCAGAGCTGTTCTCTGAAGAGCAGTTCTCTCAGAGCTCTCTCACAGGGTGTCTGTTGTGGGGAGAGGAAGGAGATTGTAAGCCGCTCTGAGACTCCCAAGTGAAGGCTGGGGTATAAATCCAATTCCTCTTCCTCGTCTTCTTCCTCTGCCTCGCTTAACATCACCCAGTGAATTTACCGGGGGGGGGGGGTTAATCCCAGTGTCTTTGGTCTTAACACCCTAACCACTACCCAACATTTTGTGCAAATAATGGTATGTTCAAGTAGTCTATTCATATGAACATGGGGGGCAATGTCATATTGTAAGCTGTCGTGACCATACTCAGAAGTGGAGTGTGCTGGGGAAATCCTGGCTTGCCAATGCCTGCTAGTGTCCTTTTTCCTACATAACACTGCTGACCCAGGTAGACAGCTCAAACACATTGCTGAGGTTCATGAAAACGGGGGTCAACTCGTAACCCAAACCTGGCTCTGCATTAGGCCTATGCAAACTGTGATACCAGCCAAACCGGCCGGCCCTATTCTTGTAGATACAGGCAGCAAAACATGAGTGTTTATTGAACCCAGGGTCTCCCTACATGGGTAGAGGGCAGTATTCCGGTTTGTGGAGCTGAAACTATACCCCTGCTTTATTAATTCATCAGCAACCTGAACTCTGGCCAACAGCCCAACTTGAGCTGTGAAAAATAATGTGTTGTTGAACAAAAAGTTCTCTCCGCGTAACTGGCATGGCTTTAATTCTGAGCCCAGTAGTGCCAATATAATCTGCTTTGTTGGTAGAAGAGGAGCGATGGACAAACTTTGAGTCCAGTGGCACCTTTAAGACCAACGAAATTTTATTCTTTGGAAGGAGGAGGAGGAGAGGATTTATACCCTGCCCTTCACTTGGAGTCTCAGAGCAGCTTACTATCTCCTTTCCCTTCCCCTCCCCACAACAGACACCCTGTGAGGGAGGTGGGGCTGAGAGAGCTCTCTCGGGGACTGCCCTTGAGAGAACCACTCTGAGAGGACTTGTGACTGACCCAAGGTCACACCAGCAGCTGCATGTGGAGGAGTGGGGAATCAATCCCGGTTCTCCCAGATTAGAGTCCGTGCTCCTAACCAGTGTGCTGTAGAGGCTGGACTAGAACTGGGGAGACCTGAGTTCAAATCTTGAAATTTAGTGGATTACTCTGGACCCCTTGTTCTGTCTCAGCTTAACCAAACCTTGGAGGATTGTTGTGAGGATACAGGGGCAGAGGGGAGAGCCATGTATCCTTCCCTGGGGAAATTAGAGGAAGGGCTGAATAAAAATGGCCCAAATGAAACGAGTTCTTTTGAAAACAGGCTTGGATCAGTAGTCCATTGCTGGCGAAGCAGAGCAGAGGCATTTGTGCTGCTCCCTTCAAGTGAAAAATGTTCCCCATATATTATCTTGATCATTCTGTTAACAACAGTCTTGTATGGCTGGCCAGTGTTATTCCCGTATTGCAAATGGCGAGCGGGATTGATGCTGATTGAGCGTGGTGTGCCAAAGGCTACCTTTTAAGCTCCAGGAATGTGCATCCTGATCTTAAGCAACAGGAATCCAAGCCGATTCTTGAATATCCTGAATACAATGGCGAAATGGGACAGTTGGTGATCTTCAGAAATTATAGATCGAGATGGGTAGCTGCAGGGCTCTTTTCGTAGAAAAAGCCCAGCAGGAACTCATTAGCATAATAGGCCACACCCACCTGGGAGTGGGATTGATGATGATTGAACGTGGTGTGCCAAAGGCTACCTTTTAAGCTCCAGGAATGTGCATCCTGATCTTAAGCAAACAGAAATCCAAGCTAATTCTTGAATATCCTGAATACAATGGCGAAATGGGACAGTTGGTGATCTTCAGAAATTATAGATCGAGATGGGTAGCCGTGCTAGTCCATGTGTAGCTGCAGAAATGACGAAGAGTCCGGTAGCACCTTGAAAGCTAACAAGATCTGTGGTATGGTAGGAGCTATCAGTGAAGTGAGCAGCGAGTGACTCACGAAATCTCATACCCGACCACCGATTTTGTTAGTGAGCTCCCGTCTCTAGTTCCCGCTCCTGCCAACCTAGCAGTTCGAAAGCAAGAATGAGTGTCTGCTGTTGGGTGTGGCCTGTTATGCTAATGAGTTCCTGCTGGGCATGGCCAACTCGGGAGCCAGCCGGTACTCTGTTCCTGTGCGTTCCTGCCCAAAAATAGCCCTGGGTAGCCGTGTTAGTCCATGTGTAGCTGCAGAAATGACAAAGAGTCCAGTAGCACCTTGAAGACTAACAAAATCTGTGGTAGGGTAGGAGCTATCAGTGAAGTGAGCAGCGAGTGACTCACGAAATCTCATACCCGACCACCGATCTACCGGCCTCTCCTCTTTTCAGAAATTATAGTTATTAACTTAAAAGAGGATTAGACAGATTCATGGAGGAGAGGTCCGTCGATAGCTATGAGCCGTGCTGACTAAAGGGAACTTCCACATCCAGAGGAAGTAAAGCTCTAAACAGAGAGGGAACAGCAAGGGAGGCCTTATCTTTTGTGCCTTGTCTGTTGGCCCTCCAGGACAACTGGTTGGCCACGGTGAAACGGGATTCTGGACTGTTCCAGCAGGGCACCTCTTACATGCAGGGCTTTTTCTCTGTGGAAACGGCGGGACGGAGTTCCGGAACCTCTTCAACAAAATTATTTTTAAAATGTTTAAAAGCTCATGAGTTTTCAGTTATTCAGATTGAATACTTCATTTCCCTTTTGAGAGTTCCGGCACCTCTTCCCCCCCCCCCCCAAAAAAAAGTCCTACTTACATGCATATGTTGACATGCTACGTATTTTTCACAGTTGTATGAAGGGAGAGAGTGACTTGGCAGATTAACTGACGGGGGTGTCTTCCAGCCAAAAGAGATAGCAGATCTAAGTGTTGAAGAGGTTCATTCCAATCAGCATTTATGTGACCAATATTTTCGCTTTCAGGCCACTGTGGCACCGAAGTCTTTCTCGTAACAATCATGTACAAAGAGAAATTTGAGTTCAGTTGGCTTGTTAGTCTTCTTTCCGTTCTAGTGCTGTA